TGTTTGTGTTTTGAACAAGCCAATTCTGTAGCATGTTAGCAGAGGTTATTTGAGCTGTTTTGTACGGTCTAGGTTTGGAATCGACCTGAAAATAAAGCAGAGGCAGACAGAGGCGTACTTAATAATTTGCAGGTGGTATTGTCTCATTTAATACCTGCTTAAAAATGCCAGCAGATACACTGGAGGGTAGAGGCTTGGTCAGGCATCACATCTGACAGTTTGGGGGATACTGCTAGACACATTAACCACAATTTATACGAGAATGTTTTCCTGTAATTTTCAAAAAATCAGAACAATGCTAGAGAGTGGGAGAGACTGTGTCCTCTCTTCCTTTGCCCTTCCTTCTACAATATGACCAGGTACCATACAGATTTCTAATGAAAGGTTAAATAACACTGTACAGAGAAGACTTATTTTGGTTCACATGCTTTGTGTGAGAGCCATGCAAGGTTTTAAAGGTTCACAGTGAAAGCTGTTCGGTAAGCTGTAGCCATATGTCTCCCATTCTAATCACCAGGAATTACAAAGCTGAAACTTTACTAGACTCTGAAAATTCACCTGAGTTTCACAGACCAAATTAATCTAATGTGGCTTACTTAAACAGCTGCTGGCATTACAAACTATGGTAGGAAAATGGTATCTATTTTTCTCAGTGCAGCAATATGAAAGCTCACTGGGTAAGCATCGTTTGTGGTCACCTAAATTAAACTGTAATTGCCATTGCAGTTTTTAATTAAAACTGGCATTTATGAGCTTATAATTGGCAATGTCCACCTTAATGACAATATACTGTTTGTGCTAACAGCAGCATAGGAGGCCAGCATAAGAGATTATAAAAGTCTCCATTCTGTTTTACTATCGGGAAGAGGACTTTGTCATATGGAAAATTCAAATCTTTATCTCAACACTTAACATGCAGATTTGTGTTGAGAGGGCCCAGCTCAACACCAGGTGAGGTCAGCTGGAAGACTCAGTGACAGAAATGAATTTTAGATATATGGGTTTATTGGCTTCAAAGAGGAGGAACAAATGTACATTTTAGCTGCTCTAAAAGGATAGGGGGGGAACTGCTGCTAGGGAACATACATCAACAGTTGTTGTTTGTTCATCTGCATGACCCTATGCAAACAGTGCAAATGAACTAAATCTTTAGATCCTGGATGACGCTGTATTAAAGTTGGAGCAGTCCATGCTACACCTGTATAACTATAGAATCATGCAGATCTAACAGTTGCATCGTCTTGGCCTCCTTTGATAGGATACAGTTGTTAAATCTGTCTGTAGCTAACACTGGGTTTGTTAGGAATGATGCTGTGTGTTGATATACTGGTTCATACGTTCTGAATTCTTATGGGAACTCCCCTGAACCATTATCAGCCTGTTTCAGTTTGTCTCCAAGGCTACAAGGAGACGTTATATTTGTTCCAAGAAAAATCACTGTATCCGGGGATGAAATGTAGTCGTTCAGGTATCCATGTCCTTACTCCCATGACAGAAGCCTAAAAATGTTCATGAGATAAGAAGTGCTAACTGTTTGTCTTGGGACACTGTAAAGTGCATGTGAATGATTTTCCTGGGATGGCATCATGGAATTGATGTCAGAAAAGGAGCAGTGTATTCAGCCATTCAGTAAATCCTTATTAGAGGGGTGATGTGTGTACACACCAATCCCAGGACTTTTCTGTGCTGGTACAAGCACCGGTACAGCTTGTCTTAGGACAAATGCAACATTTGCTTCCAACCTAAGAATCCTTGAGACATGGGATACTTTCATGGGAAGGGGAGAAGTTGTTTTATAAAGACATCTGGGGATTTAGATGGACACTTTTTCTGTTAACTCTGGCTTTAGGGACTAAAGTTGGGATTCCAGTTAACTGAAAGGCCTGGAACCCAACCCATCTCTCGTCCCCACATGATAAATGAGGTTGCATAGTGGTAATGTACAACAGTCCCTTTCCAAGAGCCAGAAAATTAAGCCCAAGTGGCAGCCATCAGGGGTGGATCTGAGGCCAGGGAGGAGGGGGGCCACTTTTGATTCCTGTTCCATCCAAAGTTTAAAACAAACTACCTGGCAGTGGCAGCAGCATTTCTGTTCAGACAGTAGTGAGGGAGTCATTTGACTTCATGGCTCATTGTAATCTACCTGATTCCTTCAAAAGTCTTCATTCCACTGGTGTTAACAACCCTCTCTCCTTTTTAATGGTATTACAGTTCTACTAATCAAGCTATTTTTTCCTCTGCAATTCTCCTGTCCCATAGTTCGTCCTACTAATGTAGCTCCCATTTCACAGCCTTCCAGTCTGTTTTTGACTCTGCCTAAAAACAAAAACTTAGGGGCTGAAACATTAACTAAGGCATGGAAATAACTTCTAGTGTAACGTTGGAGGCACTGTCAAGATGCTCAAGAAAGTTTTATTATGTTTTATGAATGTGAAGGAGATGTCATAAGAGTTAAATGTACAGGACTAAAGAAACATATTTTTACTGTTTTTTCTTAGTTTGTTTTGTTTCTTAATACAAAATATATGACATAGAAAATTAGTGTACATTCCAATAAAGTTATATTTGTTTTTATTTGATCTAAAATTGAATAATATTAACACCTAGCATATTGATAAAACTTCTAGTTTATTTTTATGTGAAAAATATGTATTGTGTTGTATGCGACGATGCACCACACTATCTGCACTCCACTTTCCAAAATCTTAGATCTGCCTATGGCAGCCATGTTATCAATCCTAATTTATGGTAAGGCATGCTGGGAAATAAGGGAATGTCTGAATAGTAGCTTTGTTACAAAATAGTGACTGAGAGGGACTCATGCTTTTATAAAACCCCTCCTTGGAGGTTTGGACAAGTAAGCTACACTACTTTAAAGTTATTCATTCGCTTTGTAATGATTTTGGATGGATGTCTGTAAATAGCGTATGAAACAATTTATGGGACTGTGGCTGTGTCCTCTTTGTCCTTTGTGTCAAGTTATAGTAAAGGCCCTGCAGGGGATTTTTCTGCTTATAGATTCCAAAGCCAACCTTGTTGCTGTTAGACCTGTGACAGATGGCTTCGTAGAGCAGAAAATGGAGATGTGGCAATTTAATTATAAGTGTGTTATGTTCAAATACGTTTTATACATGATGAGAAAAGCCAAGACTAGGGTAGAAAAGATGGGATCAGAGTAGAAAATAGGAGGAAGAAAAATAATATGCAGCGATGATGGAAAACATATTCTGTATTTATCTAGAAGCACTTTATAAAATGTGTGAATTAAAAATCAATATAAATGTAATATTATTTTTCTCCATGTAGTGAGTGCTATGCATACATAGAGGTATATTAATATCAAGAAAATGTCTACAAAGAGACTGGAAATTCACACTACCTCTAATTCTATCATGGAACATAAGTGACTGGGTAGAGTTTAAAATACTGTGTTCACCTATCTAATTAGCATCCATGTTATAACTAGCATTACAGTGTCTCTGAGCCCAGAACTTGATCATCAAGCAGCAAAATTTCTCTCTAGAGAAATAGCATTGATTTAACTTTCTGAATAGGAAGAATTCCCAGTGATCTGAACAAAATGCCGTGCTGGTAGAATGGCAACAAAACTGGGTTGCCAATGGCATCCAAAAAGACGATAATTTTTAGTGTATCCTTGCTATTAACACACACCTGCATAAAAAACACAACTTCTTTAGATAAGAGTCTGTTTCCTATATCTAGTTTTTTGTGCCTGGTCCTTCAAAATGAAGAGACTTCATCTTTCATTGATTTAGTATCATGTGAAATTCAACTCTGAGAGAAATTTGGCTGTTTTGCTTTTTTTTCATTCCTTGGACACATAAAGTCAGACTTTATGATTTTTTATTTCTATTGGTATTGTATTAAATCTGTGCTGCATTTTGGATGCTTATAAATGCAAAATTAAATTCTGGATTGTAAATCCTGGATTAACCAACGGTATTGAAAACGGTTATGTACAGGGCACTGTCCTTCAGATTTGCTTTTTCTTCTTCTATGGCATCATTCAAGTAGATGCCCAGGAATGATCACAATGATTAAGTGCTAGAGCTGTTCACAAAATGTAAAATATTTATGGTAACATTTTTTAAAATTAATTAGTTTTTTATTTAATCTCAACTGTCCACACTCTTTACTTAGACAAAGCTTTTTTTTGTGAATATCTAAAAGTGCTAGGAAGTACTGATTTATAAAATCAGTAATCATATGTAGGGGGGAATCAAGCTGTATGAGTAAACAAATGTACAAGTTAGTAGTTATATGCATTTTAAAACTGACTTGCATGCTTTTTATATAAAAGTTATGCCTATTATCCAAAATGCATGAGAGAGAGGTTCTGTGAATTTTCTACGTTATACAAGTTTTAACTAAATACTATTTCCATTTTAGTGTAAGAGTGTGGCTGAGCTTGTGTGTTCACTTAGTGCAAAGGTCTGTTGACAATAGAATTTTCATCTTGTAAAACAAAATGTGTTAATACTGGGGTGTCAAAGATACGGCTCATGGGCTGGGTCTGGCCCGTGGAGTGCTATCATCCAGTCCTCAGTGCTGCCTATGGGTCTCAGATTGGACCCATATACTGCATTTGGTGTGGGCCAGACGAGACCCATGGACTGCACATGGAGTGTGGGACTGGCCTGGTGCTCATTGCAGGCAATGCACAGGGCCAGTTGTGGGCACATGCTGCCAGCATTGGGGCTGGTAGTGGCACCCATGCTGAACTGGCCTCAGGCACTGCATGCAGCACATGGGGCCAGTCTGCGGGTCCAGTCTGGCCCAAGGACCAGTTCAGAACCACTTGCCTGGCCTGTGGGGCTTGATGAATTTGACACCCCTGTGTTAACATTTTATTAAGTGGTCTTCTTCCTTGCTGAAACTGGGGTGAGTTTTTCAGATGGAAATTTATTTTCTATTTTACCAAGGACTGAGGCCTTAATAAAGCCCTTAATAACATTACTTATCTGTCATTTCACCTACAGGTACATTTACATCCCAATGGGAGGATCCCAGTGTAGTGTTGTTGGGATGTTATTCTCCACAGCAATTACTTTTGCCTTTGTAAGTTATTGGCACGGAGGCCATAACTACCTTTGGTACTGGGCGGCACTAAATTGGCTTGGAGTAACTGCAGAAAATGGAGTCAAGAGGCTGCTCTCTGTTTCACTTGTTCAAGATTTAATTGTAAGTTGAATCCATTTGTGCTTCACATTCATCTGAAATTCAAGATTTTGTGGTGTGGACTGTGTACGTGCCCATGCTAGAGTTAAACTTGATGCTAACAGAGATAGCAGTCAGTGCATTTTATCCATTCTGCCTAGGCCATATTGTTGAAGGTTGGCAGTGGTGTGGGCAAATTACTCAGTGCTGCAGTTGTGTGAACAAATAAGTTTACATACACCAAGAATCAGAAGTTATCCCATTATCCAAACTCAGATTTCACTCTTTGCTATCATTCACATGGTTTATAGTATTTGGAAGTCTTCATGAATTATGAATATGTTTTCTTTAGTTGTCTCTTGGACCAAGTGAGTTTGTAGCAGCTGCATATAAATGTAAAACAAAAACCATTAGCGCAATGCACTGACAAATTGTGTGGCACCAAGGACTTCAGTAAGCATAGTATAATTTAAGGATTGCTACTAGATCTCTGGATTAGGAAGATATGTACCATCATTACCTTACTTACTGTTTCAAAACAGAAGTGCCTAAGCTTTCAGTAACATCTGAACATGTCATCATATACAAAACCACTGTTATCTTACAATGATATGTATCGCTTTTCAGACTTCACTCCATAATTATGACTCCAAGTTTTTCATTCACTATGCATGAGAATAAGTAATCCCCTGTTGGTTCTCATTAACTCTTCCCAACTTCTACTAATAATGTAAATGGTAATTAATTCACCAACATGTTTATTACTTGAACATCAGAACTTCATGGTGGTTGTTCCCTTTCCCCTGCCGTATTTTAGTATTCATGTTGTAGTATCTTATTGTAGATTTGTATTCTGTTGTATCCTGAGTGATTTAGCAGTAAAGGATACTGCTATGTGTATCATTAGGCTTGTTAGGATTCAGTTTTATTGGTAAACGTTGATAAACGTCAATTTCACTCACACTCACAGACTGATGAAAAAATATTTCCATCATTAATAATTGAAATTTTTAGAAAGGGGATGTAAGAAAAATGATGGCTGATGGAGTATGTGACAACAGGGGGAGCAATCCTATAGAACCATGCTGACTGTAGTTTGGACTACAGCTCCCAGAAACCCCAGGGGACTGAGAACAAAGGAAGAGGAAGTGACCAAGTGGATGAGGGAGCTATAGGCAAGTGGAGGCAGGACTGATGTGTAGCTCAGCTGGCGGCAGTCCTACAGTCAATATTTGTCACAGCAGGTGGTTAAACTGCACTATAATAATAGTATACTGCCATTAATACATTGTCTGCCCCACACACCTTTAATTTTGTGCAATCCTGAAAATTTAAATCAATAAAAATTGAAATAAATGCTTAAAAATAGATACATATATTATCCATCAAAATTATAAAAAAAAAATTGAATTCTGCCAAGCCTATATATCATCCATCTGTCCATCAGTGTGAGTGCTGCAAAAGCTTTTTTCCTCTATAGGGAAAATGAGCCTGTCAAGGCCCTGCTACATATTCAGATTGAAACTGGATACAAACCAGTATCAAAGCAGCATATTGACATAATTAATAGTTTATCTTAAAGCAGCAGTCAGCACTGTTTTCAGACTATGGGCTGGAATGACCTGCCTCAAGTAAGAGGTGGCAGGCTACAGTCCATCCACTACTACTGCCACCACTTCTGCCTCCCACAAGAAAGCTCATGCTGCCACACTTTATTTCTGCTGTGGCACAGGGGAAGCCCCGCATCCACTTTGTAAAACACTGCCAAAGTACCCATCCACTGAACTTTGCTAAAGCCCCATGTGTGCTGACTGGTTCTGGGGTTGGCTCTAGCTGTGAACCCCTGGTTTAAAGCACTTTCATGGACATCAGAATTAGCACCCAGTGAAATGAATGTGGCATTTCCCCTCCCTCAGAGCTATGTTTCCAGTTCCTTGTTGAACTTAGGCAAATATTATAGTTGTGACAGTTGGGTCATGTTTTCAAGATTTTTCCTCACAATATTACTATTATTAATATATTGAATATGATAAATGAAAGCTGAGACTGGGGAGTAGTTAAGTTGCCTGTCTACATTCAGGCTAAGGATAGACATTACACATAAACCGGTTTAACTGATCAGAAACTGGTTTAAAGCTGTAATAGAATGAACAGAATGGACGTTTAGTGCACATAAACCAATTTGAAAAGGGCTGAAACCGGTTTGAGATAAACCTGGTTGAATGTAGTATAAGATTTTACTGGGTTAGGTCAAACGGGTTTGTGTAATGTCTGTCCCAGACCCCTTTCTGATTTAAGTTAAATCAGAGTCCCCCAGCATCCTGGATGCTTTGCAGCCGTGGGTGGGGCTCTCTGCTCCAGAGAGCTCTGCTGGCCCCTCTCCTCTGCTGCTTGGCTGCAGCTCTGGCAGAGACTGCAGGCTCAGCAGGGTCTGCCTGGCTTCCCTGTGCCCCCCACCAACTCCCTGCTCAATCACGCATTCCCCACTCCCCTCTTCCAGAGCACGGACCACAGCCAGCATGTGGTATGCTAGCTAATGGTGAGAGGTGTTTGTGTCAGGCAGACAGGACAAAGGCAGACAGAACAGTGTCCACTTAGGGCTTTTTGGCAGTAATCAACAGTTCAGCTGGTAATGTCCCTGTCCCCCACACCCCTGTTCCTTGCTTGGAAAAAGCTGTTTAAGAAGAGCTTGAACTAATGAGAGAAGCTTTTGTTTTCTTAATGGGCTGATAAGCACTGTATTATCAAGAGCAGTGCGGGAGGGGAACCCCTCCCTAATCTAAGCATCCCACCGGGCCTGGCCATGCCTTGCCCCCACCTCCATATCAGCACTATAGAAGGGAAGGGAGGGCTGCTGTAGCTCCCCCTGGCTTCTAGCCTGAGCCGTTGCAGGGTTGTGCCTGCATTTCTTTAGTCCAGAAGGGCTCTCTGTGTGGTTGCAAAGTGGTTCAGCCTAGCCAGGTTAGACTAACCTGCAAAGATTAAATGAATTCAGGCTTTTTGAATGTCTGTCCCTAGCCTCAGTGTCCCCAGCTTGCCCTGCGTTGTGTCTGGCATACATTGTTATCGTGCATCATTACCTTACACAATTCACAAAGCTAATGTGTGACTCTGGATTTGGGCAACATCTTTAATTTTTTCTTAGTAGTTTCTGTATTCAGAGTGTTCAATATACAAATAAAGATTCTCTTTTTCTATCTGATTTCCAGCCCTGCAAATTCAACTTGACATCTGAAAATCAAGTGTGTTATTTTGACTCATACAATATTATCAGTAATTCATTTTTAGAAGAGCATTCAAAGAACATTTCAGTGCATTTGGGGGGGATATCACAGGTAAAGATTTTTCTGTTAGAATTTTATTGGCTATTTTATCGATTAAAAACTCCAGCCTATTCCTTTTTTTTCCTCCCCATTTTCTCTAGAAAATCAGCAACAGTCAAAATCATGTCAGATATTTTTAAATAAGTAGGAAGAGGTCTGAGTTCCATTTCTGTGGTTGATTTGCTGACCTACCCCTGCATCATAAATTGAATTCTGGAGTGCAACTTTAACAGGTGAATTAAACCTTGATTTCAAAACATTTTAATTGGAATAACAAACATCCCAAAAACAGAATCTAGCTTTGAGTCTGAACTTTTATGGTTGTTTGCTGGAAACTTAAATTAATGCAGAGGGAATATGAAGAGCTTAAAAATTACCACACTTGGCAGTTTATCTCTTTGTGTGTCTCTGGTGCTGTTCCTTTGGGTGCATCACAGCTCTTTCTGTGCAGCTCAAGTCTGGATGTCAGGAGAATCATGACTTCCCTTTTTTGCCCCAGTACAGGTTTTGTAAGGTCTTAAATCTCTCTAGTGGAGGGGTTTTCAACCTTTTTTAACAAGTGCACCACTCCTGCCTCAAAATTTCAGATCATGTACCCCTTTATATTTTCTCTTGGTTTTAAGGTGGGGGCAAATTGAGGCCCCCATGGTAAGGGAGGGTGTGGGCCTGGGGCAGGGGCAGGCACTGCACAGCTGGGGCAGAGTGTGGGATGGAGCTGTGGTGTGCCATGTAGGGCCGGTGGCACCCGGTGCACCTCTTCCCTGAGTAAAAAGCAAAGTATGGGCAGGCGCAGGGGGAGACGCCACAGCTGCACCCCAGGGCACACTTCCTCCCTGCCCATCTGCACATACCCCCTATGGCCTTTCTAAATACCCCTGGGGGTATGTGTAGTCCTGGTTGACAACCCCTGCTCTACTGCAGTGACTGACAAACCTTTACAAGCTGCAGACCAGAATAACTTGGTAGCCTCCATTGTGGGCCAGATGTCTTCAACAGTGCCTCAGCAGTGGGGCAGCTGTCCCAGCCCCCATGCTGGGACCAGGCAGTTGGGATTTGTGTCTGTTGCATTGCCACATCTCCCAGCCTTCTGGCCCCTGGCTGTGGCATGGGTGCCGCTTCCAGTTGGTGGGGAGTTGTGCTGGGGCCAGGCAGCTAGAAGTTGCACCTAGCTTGCTGTTGCTTCTCCCTGCTTCCCCCCTACACCCCTGCCTCTTGGCTGTAGTCCAGGCTCAGCTGAAGACTGCCTATGCCTGGCTCAGCTCCCCACCGGCTGGAAGATGTGTCCCCAGCATAGCTGGGGGAAGGGTGAGGAAGCGAAGAAAAGTGGCAGTGGTACAGGAACAGCAAAAGCCCTCTAGCTGTGCATACACTGCAAGTTGTTGACCCCTGCTGTAGGGTGTAGAGTAAACTCAAGATGTTGAGATCGTCTCTCATGGGTAGAGAAAGACCCTAGTCCTGGTCCACTTGAAAACAATGACTGAACTTTTTTTTGGTTTTGGTCAATGAAAGATCAACCCTTTAAAAAAACCACCACCAAAGAACCTAAACTGACTAAACTAAAAAAAATTCTAACTTCTAGAATTCTACAATTGTGTCCTTTCTTCAAAAAATGAACTAAGATGCACATTTGGTTTTACTTAAGGAACAGGATGGCTCGCACTGAAATATAAGTTTCAGTAAGTTCACTGTCTATACCATCTC